TGTATGTATGTATGTATGTATGTATGTATGTATGTATGTATGTATGTATGTATGTATGTATGTATGTATGTATGTATGTATGTATGTATGTATGTATGTATGTATGTATGTATGTATGTATGTATGTATGTATGTATGTATGTATGTATGTATGTATGTATGTATGTATATATGCATGCATGGAGGTATGTATGTATGCATGCATACATGCATGCATGCATGTATGTATGTATGTATGTATGCATGTATGTGTGTGTGTATGTATGTATGTATGTATGTATGTATGTATGTATGTATGTATGTATGTATGTCCAATTGTTAAATTAAATTATTAAATAGTTGTTTATAGACCGTAAAATAGCTCCTGTGAGATAATGTTTTTGCTATGTAACTGTAAAATGGTTCTATATAAATGTATATATGGCTAGTGCGGATCTTTACTGAACTGACAATTTAGAGTGAAAATTCTCCTATCCCTTAAAAAAATGAATTATGTACTAAATAAAGGGGGAGAATTAATAGAGAAATAAAAAAAGGGCTTGAAAATATAATGCAACAATTCTTGCATTCTGTTCGTTGTACGATTTGTTTAAACTTACCGGCGTGTTAGAATGTACCGTATGAAGACAAGTTGCATTATTCGCGGAAACAAGTGACAGCATTTGCAATAGACGGGAAATATACCCCCTCCAAAGATTATGATCAGCTTTCTGCGTTCGTACTGAGAAATGTTAACATATTTAGATCTCCCTTTTATCAATCTAAAAGGTACACAAATGTTCGAATATTTGCACTCAATCGTTACATATCTGAGAACCAATATCCGCGAAAATGTAATTCCGCAGTATGCAGTTAGCATTAAACGTTTGGAAACTCGAACTTAATTATAATAACACCCTAAAATTTTAGTATCAATCAAAAACAGAAAATCACAGTACTCTTCTGAAATGGAAGATTATGCTGAAAAATACCTAAATTTCCAGTAGCCATTGCTATCGTCTCTGTCCACGTGCATCAGTAGAAATCTGTGTATTGATCCGCCTCAACTCTGACCTCTGATACTTGTATCCAATCATCAACGTGGAAAAGGTTACAGTTGGATCCACAAAATATTAACAGAGAAGAGCGACGATTAACGACTTTGTACTAAATTGACCTGGTTCACGAAGCAGACTTAATACATACATTTAGTCACAGGAGTCTGTGAATTTAGTGCAATGGAGTGAAAGAGAAGGAGAGTCTACATTTTTGATGATATAAGACAAAGTTTAAGAGTTAAAAATAAATGCATGCCGTTTCTGGCCTTACTTGCATCATGGAACTAATTTAAAAGTCACACGAGAATGAAAACGCAAATATGGCAGGGATTCGCCGAGAGCTAAGCTTTCGAAATCAAAAGAGCAACAAATTTATGGAAATAGTCCTTCAATCCAAAACCATAAATAACAGTCTGCCATCGACATTAGTTATTGGAGACTGTATTGTTTTGTTTTTTAATCAGCAATAATCTCTGACATTGTGCATGCATTGCAACAATAAAATAATAAAATAGTGAAATCCATCTTGAAATTATTAAGTGTACTCCTGTTTCGTGTATTACGTGTGTTCATACAAACAAAAATTGTGCATGTTGTCTACTATTTTCTACTACTGTGTTGTAGTTTAATTTGATGTTCTATCTGTTATCTGCTGTTGTATTGTCTTTCATTTAACGTACCATTGTCTTTTAATATGCAGTTAAACAGTGACGTTGTAATGTGTACAAGTGTACTTTGTACTGTAACAAGAATTGTGTACAGTACTGTTGAATTACGAATACTACTGCTATGCAAGTAAAAAAAAAAAACTCCTACAGAGCTAGTGTTTTATGTATTTACTGAAGCCACCGACGTAAATAAAATTTCTTATATCTTATATATTGAATCTAGATTGAATATATATGTACTAGATACTCCTTACCATCCTAACACTTGTAATAAATATTTTTTAAATATTAATTATTATTAAACTGGCTTTAAATCCACCATATGCATCGTTCTCAGCACTGCTTTCTAAGAGCACATTTTTACATGAGTCATTTTTGAGGCTGCATACCTTAATTGTAATGAAGAAATTAGCTTTATTGAAATACAATACAATACAATACAATACAATACAATACAATACAATACAATACAATACAATACAATACAATACATTACAATATATACAATGCAATACAATACAATACAATACAATGCAATACAATACAATACAATACAATGCAATGCAATGCAATGCAATGCAATGCAATCCAATGCAATGCGATACGGCACGGCACGGCACGGCACAGCACAGCACAGCACAGCACAGCACAGCACAGCACAGCACAGCACAGCACAGTACAGTACAGTACAGTACAGTACAGTACAGTACAGTACAGTACAGTACAGTACAGTACAGTACAGTACAGAGATTTGTTACTTTGAATACTTTGGAATACATATTTGTCCAAATATCACTAACAAAATTTAAATACCGTTGCTCTTCTTTTTTACAGGTGGGTGTCACATTCGAGTTTAAAAGTAATTTCTACAAATCTTTGCAGCATTTATCGCTTATTTTATTTTGCATTTATTGTATTCCAATCATATGAAATGGTTTTATCTAGAGTCTCCATCAAACAAATATTAAAAAATAACGAGTCTGATATATCTACGTTTGATATATTTTCGATATTTCCGTTATATTCCAGTGAAACTTATTGTAATTTTATATCTTGAATTCAAATTTTAATTTCATTTACGTATTTAGTGTCTTGAAAAGGGCTGTTGTGATGAAGATTTTATTAGGGATCAACCATTCAACTTTTTTATGGTTTAAATACGAAGGGTGCGGCAGCTGAAACATTATTTCTGAGTTCTAAATCAGGATAACTTATTTTTATCTCGAGATCGTTATTTTTAAAAGAGAAAACAAAGAAGAAATTAAGAAGAAGTCTACTAAAAATTTAAGTCCTTTGAAGAGGAGATATAAGTTAAAAAAATACTGGAACAGAACAGCTGCACTAGTTAGCGAATAATACGGTCAATTTAAATTACCGTTTGTACTTGCTTATTAGTTTAATTCAGTTGCAAACAGCATATACCTTAATTTGCAGTCGCATATATACAGGCAGATCAGGGTCTATATTGTCCTACTAATTACACTTCACAAACTGCGCATGCCCAAATATGTCAATGTATTATGCGATGGCAGATCTGGGTCTGTACATTTTACAGCTGGATTCAATTTATATGCGTGTGTTAATGGTTCATACTGTCCGTGAATGTCGTTATCCATGCTTAACGTTTTTTCACTGTGCTGTTCATTCATCAACAATTAGCTGTTCCTGTTCTCTTCATTGATTTTCATGGATTTTCAAGATCAGCGTCTTTTTTATATCATGATGAATACCATTTCTTTAAAGTTTAAAATTTTCTTTAAGTTTAAAAGTACCATATTTGCATCTCTGAGCAAATTCATGTGATTATTCTTTCCAAACTTTTATTTCTGTCACATTTTCAAAACAATTGGTGTTAGGTTTCTTGAACAGAAAATACAGAGAGCATTTTTCATTACCAACTGTTACAATTATTTAGAGAAATATTTGTTGTCAGAATTATATGTGTTAAAATTCATTTTGAATGGCTACTGCAGCAATACGTTGATAAAGAGTTGTAATCCAGTGTTGCAATATTGGACTAAAATTAAAAGGAAACAACTTTTACCCAAATGTCCAAGAAATAAAATAAAAAATCGTTTCAAATTCTCTTAGTGATATTAGTCGAGATATATTTGTTTTTCTTCAAAATCATATTATACTGGTCCCGTGTATTCTCCAAAGTAGCTTCTTTTTTTAAAAATCCTGTCTAATTTGCATGAATCAGTGAGTCTAATTTACTTTTTAATTCTGTTTTTAATGAAACCTGAATATATATTGAAAACGAATATCAGTTTATCTAGTTTGTCATATTAAACTCTCATGTAATTATTCCTTGTCTAAGAACCGTAGAAAAAATTTCTATGCATTATTGATTTCCCGTACTACATAATTTCCAATATTTTAAAACTTGTTTTGAAGAAGTCACTGTTACAATCATGATATCCCAAACGTTTGCATATTTTTCATCTTCTTTAAACATGCCAAACATGCAAGTGCTTCTTCTTATTGTAAATTCTCCTCCTTTGTGGTAGCCATATTTTAAGCAGTTATAACACTGCATATAAGTAGGAACGAGAGTGTCAACTGCAATGTTCATGAACCTGGCTTTTGTCACTGAAGGTAAAGGGGTGAAGTCAAACACTGAATTGTGAGTGCTTGAGGGAATCGTATATTCTGAGATCTGAGATTTTAGATCATCTCCGTCTCACTGCAATCATGTAGATCTCAGTCTCACTGCAACCATGTAGATCTATACATGGATTGACTAGACGGATTAGGATGCTTGTAAAAAATAATGTGTATTTTTACTAATGGTTTAGAGGCAAGCCTTAACATCTTTGCAATTGCATGTTGTTTTTTTTTTTGTATTTTATGTTTACATTTGCTTGGAAGGGATTATATTTCTAAAAGTTTGTGCAATGCACTTTTAAAAATGTTTTCAAACATCACCTTCATTTGGCACTACATGATCTTTTTTGTGTACAGGTACCGTAAAATACAGCATCATAGCTGCATACATTCGTCCTAAGAAGATTTTTTAAGTGAGCTATGCATGTGTGTGTGTGTGTGTGTGTGTGTGTGTTTGTGTGACATTTTTAACGTAGCTTTAAAAATGTTCAGTCATATCGTTACGATGTCTGCAGTGTGGGAGTTCACAGTGATGTCTAGCACTGAGGCATCATGCAGCAGGCTTGTATCGTCATATCCAACCCAATCACGTTATCATGAAACCATGCTGACCAGCCATAATACTAACCTCTTATAACTGAGCGCCAAGCGAGGTATCTGTTAGTACCATTTTTACAAGTGTTTGTTATGCCTCAGCCGGGGTTCAAACCCGCGACCCTTGCATCCAAAGCGGACGCTCTAACCACTTAGGCCATAGTTGAACTAGGGCCCAATCTGACTGTGGTCACACTCTTGAACTCATCAGTATAGCCTAGAAGTGCTTTATCTATCAGAAAAGGTGATAGTTTGGTTAACTGCTGATTCTCATCATTGAAGTCAATGACTAGAAATAGTGATCTATTTCCCTGACTCTAGAGAGTTTCATCCTCTGCTTCAATAGCTGCATTATTCCTGGTCCTTTCAAAACAGGTCTCACATTATTATTATTTAAAGTTTCTGATGTTTTTATTCTCATAGTGGGATAAACATTTGTCCTCACCTGCATTCCTCACCTGTTGGAGCCAGCAAGATGAGAGATATCGCAATTTTTGCGTTTCCCATTTTATCTTATCAGTGTGATATATTCGTGAAAAGAAGAAACTGTGCTTAGTTGATATTTGCCTCTACCCTCAAAGGCGGTGTGTTTTATAATGTTCCAGGAATAACACTATTTCATCGATCACAGCGAACACCTTTCAAAAGTATGAACATCAGATAAACCAAATACTTTATTATAATCTCTAAAGCCTGGTGCGACTAGCCGATTAATCAGACCAAGCCCATCTAACCACCCATATTCGTGAAGTTGAGGTCAATGTAGTGAGTTGCATTGGATCAGCAGCCGTTGATTTCTCCTTGTAACAGCTATCAGGATTCTCTCCTCCAGCCAGACGGGTGAGCTTCTCCAATTAGTTGCTACTTACCACATATAGAACGAACACATAAAGCCTATTGTACAACCCGTAATCAACAAGGCACACTTTGCATATGTTTATAATACAGTTATAATATGACATATATAGAAAATGTTACTAATGTTTCTCATTTTTTAAAAAAAAAAATTAGATTAATGACCGATAACTCTTCTCACAATCTGAATATTTATGAGAGAATAATTGTGGTTGAATAATAAAAGTTCAATTTGGAGGTTTCTGTTTAAACTTTTAAAGTCTCCATACTTGAGCATAAGTCTCCTTGTGTAATATTCTACCAGGTTCTACTAGATATTTTGCTGTTCTTATTCCTCCATGACAAAAAAAAGTAAAAGGTTTAACGAAAATGCTGTTACTCAGACTTTTAATATAGTCACAACAGCAGCCTTCTGGAAAATATTATAGTTATTCCCCCTGATGTGATGATCATATCAACAGTATGTGCGTGTGTTTGTGTGTGTGTGTGTGTGAGTTTGTAATTTGGATTTTTAAAGTAGCTTTAACAATTTTTCAGTCATATCGCTACGATGTCTTCAGTGTGGCAGTTTATAGTGATGTCTAGCACTGGGGCATCATGCAGTAGACATGTGGCATGATATCCCACCCAGTCACATTATCCTGACACCAGGCCGACCAGTCCTAACACTAGCCTCCTAATGCTGAGCGCCAAGCGAGGCAGCTGCTAGTTCCATTTTTGTAAGACTTCGGTATGAAACGGCGGGCCTTCTAACCGCTAGCCCACCTGAGCGGTCTTACGATATCTGGTTGGTCCTAAAGGAAAATGGTATTAATCCGACATTCACTATATCCACCAATGAAGCCATCTTAGAAATAATATTGCTTCTCATTCTGAAAAGAAAGTCATATCGACTTGAGGTTGTCACTATAATACCTCTAATATTGCCAAGTTGGTACTAAATGAAATAGTTTCGCTCTGACATGCTTTTTTAAAAATCATGTTACTACAACTACCCCTAAAAAGACAATTCTTATCAAAATGGCGTTTTCCCCAGTAGTCCATCTTATGATCTGAGCTTGGCTCTAAATGAACATAATGATGACTTGAAGTCCATCTTGAAAATGTTATTTACACTTATCCTGAGTGGACGTTAATATTAGCTTGAGATTTTCACTAAAAGAATTCTTATCATTATCTAGTTGATCTTAAACGAAACTAATACATACCTTACACCCAAATATGGCCAACACAGCAGCCATCTTGGAAATATTTTCGTTTGTTTGTCCTTCTGAATTGAAAATTAGATTGAAATGAGATTGTCGCCAGAAGACTTCGTATGTCGTCTAGTTGGTCCTATATGAAAAAGTTGCCAAGGTGATATTCAACATGGCTACCATAGTGGCCCTCTTCAAGATTTTATTATCGCTACTCCTTCTCATTGTATGGTCATATTAATACAGTGTTTTCTCCGCAAGAAGTTTTAAGTCTTGTTGGGTCTTGCTGAAAATGGCGCCGATCAGTCATTCATTACGGCTATCATAGAAACCATCATAGAAATCTTGCTATCGCCTCTTTTCCGAAATGAAAAATAACATTATCATAGGGTTTTCTCAAGAAGACCTCTTATGATATCTAGTTGGTTCTAAATGCACATCTAGTATGGTCGCCACAGTGGTCATCTTGAAAACTTTGTTTTTGATATTTCTCCTGAATGTGGTCTCTGCTGAATGACGTCTCATTGTTTCTGATAAATCCTACCTGAAAAGGCGCTGCTCAGATATCCAATATGGCCACCACAGTGACCATATGGAAATTATTGTTGTCACTACTCTTAAATGAGCATGTCAGAGAAGGGATTGAATGAAAGATTTCTTATAACTGGTTTTAATAAAAATGGTGCCGATCTTGCTTCAAATATGGTTACTACAATGTCCATCTTGTAAATCTTGTTCTTATTGCTTCTAGATTGGCTGGTCATATTGATATTGTGCTTGTAACTGAAAGACCTTTTGCTATCTAGTTGATCATAAATGGAAATGAAGTCAATATGATGTCTAGTAGGAACAATAATGCAGCCAGCTTGAAATTCATGTTATTGTTGCTTTTCCAAAAAATAAAGTCATATCATTCACTAGAAGACTTGCAGTGATGACATGTTGGTCTTAAATCACGTCTTGTTGTCCCTAAATAAAGCTGGTGTCAATCTAACGTCTACAGCAATTGATTCGAAAATGCTAGTTATTACTGACGAAGAATATCAACGATTGTGGCAAGGGAAGAAATGGTCTTGTTTTGAATTCAGAAAATTCTTTTCAGCATGTAAAGCATCAATCCCTGCGAGGGACTGTCGTTTAAAATGACTTTTAAAATGCATTTTTGTTGAGCTACTAGAAATCAAAAAAAAAATTTGAAAAAGGCATAAATATTTTTAAATTTAGACCAAGAAATAAAAATGATCTCGAAATTAAGCATGATATCTTCTCTGTATCAAGTGCTACATTCTTTTACAAATTTATTGTACGAAATCTTAATTTATTCGTTTAAAATTGATTATATATCTTTTTAAAAAGAACAAATTGCAATTTTAAAAATTATTTAATTTGTTGTCATGTTTTATTCTTATTCCATTTATAGTTTGAGATAATGTATAACATAATCTCTTTAGCACAACTAACCTTCCAGATTATGATGGATTGCTAAGGAAGTTGTTAAGTATTTGGGTTGTCACTCATGCATATCGATAAATTCCTTTGCTGCTGATATTTCGCTAAATCTGGTGTCCATTTGTAATGCAGTTTAACGTATTGTATTTGACAATTGTTTCATTTAGTCCAGCAGAATTTGATGGGTAAGTCCGATCAATCATACCACCGTCCGACCCCCTCCCCACAAAACCAACAAAAGTCTGTGTTGATACTGATGCGATCTGTGGATCTGATGTCATCTGTTCATTACAATGTGTATTTTTAATGCAGACAAATCTCTCCGGAAGACAACAGAGTTGATAAACTTACAAGTATTGTATAAAAGCGGTATGTAGCCACGAAATTAACAATTTCCACAGGACATAGGGCTGTGTCTTATTTCAAGGGAATTTACAAAGCGTCATACATGAGATTTAATCCGGAAATAGTCTTTACATATTGCCAAAAAGACCATTCTACCGGTGGTCGAGAGAAATACCGGTGTCTACAATATACATCGATGTTTTGTGGACACAACTGTCTGCAAATAATTCATCGATTTTATGAGTAAGTTAAATCATACGCACAAATCGTCTATCACTATCAACACATATGGTGGGAAGGCTTGATTTATTTGACCATTTGACTGGTTCTCATGAAACCTGGTAAAACATTATGATCAGGATCGGAAGAAGCTTACACGGAAAAATCACTGCTGCCACAGTGTGAGGTTGAATTATTGCATGGTCTGTATTGGGGCCTATTGGAGTGTATAATACAGTTCAGATTTTTAGTGTAGCTAGTCAAAGAGATTTAGATGGATTGCCACGAGACTTGGTAAACAGTAAGTTCATCAACAGAAGATGTATGTCAGCAAACGTTAAGGTCACTGTGAACGAAAGAAGAAAAATGAGTTCCTTGCAGCAATACGAGTTCTTCATCTACAGCTGCCAAGCCATCTACAGCTGCCAAGCTCCTGCAGATGACTTGTACCTGTGGCAAGGATGAATCATATTTTTTTCGAGATAAAAGATTAAGATTAGTGTGACTGAAATAATAAACATGGTTTCGGGACAATAGCTTCACCATCTACAATTACCGAATTTTGTGGGTAGCTTGCACGAATGGTAATAAAGACGTAATTGTGGGATTAGGAACCAGACTTTAACTTCACGATGTTTGATAGATGCCCTATGACTGGTCTTCCCCACTATCCGTAGTTGCCAACATGTGTGGGTGGAATACTCTTGGAGTAAGGACAAATTCTATTGATATCTGGGGAAAAAATCATGGACACTGTGACCAAATGAAGAAAAATGGTTTCCTACAATAGTACGAATTCTCCATCTCTTCCAGTTGTATGGTTTGTACTTGGGTTTAGGAAGAATCCTATAGATTTCAGTCTGTAGATATTACAGGCCAAGGTGACCGTGACCGAAAGAATAAAATGGGGCTCCGTATAACAATAGTAGGCCTATCGATAGTGGGGTCAAAAAGTAAATAGACGAGTTTAGCGTGACTGAAATTAGAAAACTCGTTTCTGTCTAAAGATTTCAGTTATAGGCACATACAATTATTAAACATGGTTTGTCTTTGTAGACAGCTGTGCAGCTGAGTGTACAGTCATCACAAGAAGACATGTCTGTTGACACCA